GCATCACAGTATGGTAAGGGGCGTAACATTTCCGTCACACGCTTGAGGTATTCGGCCAATCACAAAGCACTGGATAGCTGGCCAATCAGAGCACACCTCGCTTTTCAGACCGACGAGCTTTGTAAAAATCGACGTGTATCAGAAAGTCTGGGCATAGAGGAGAAACAATAATGTACAGTATGTGGAAAATAATGTTTTTTTAACCTTAAACACATTTCATTACACCAAATACACAAAACAATGTTCTTTTTAGCAGCATCATATGACCCCTTTAAGCAGCCTCACAGTCCCACATGCAGATGGTCCTACATGCAAGAGTCTGAGGGAGGTGTCAATGTAATGTAAACAAGAGGGCGTGACACCTACAAACATCAACATTAAAGCCAATGCGGGAAATTGGATTTCCACTTCGTGGAAGTTCGTGTAACACCGGCGACCTGCTGGCCAGCTGTCATCGTCTTGATCTGTCAGGTGCGAATCTGTTACCTCAAATGCAATGAATAAGCTGGCTAATGAGAATGACAGTACGTCTTCCTGCGCCAATCGTGACTTACAGTTATTTCAACAGAGATTATGTTTTGTCGAAGCTTTTGAATGACTAAAATGAATTTGCAAATGGAAGGTGGAGCTGTCTCGGAAGCTAAAAGTGGGAATTATGCAAAAAAAAAAATAACACGCTAGGCCATAAGCAGAGCTCATTCCCCTGCTTCACAGCCTCCACGCCGCAGCATCAACTGTTTATATGCGCTGAATGATCGCAGGCTGAAATGAACCGAAGCTGCGTCACAGCCAGCCAAGCGCTCCATCAAATGGGACATTTAAACATTGCTATTACAGTCGTGTAGCGGTTTTTTACCTGGCGCTGGCGTCGGTTGGGAGACCAATGGGCTTCCCTCGCCTCCCTGAGTATGTGCGCGTCCTCCTTACAGGCTCGAATGGAGCATGGATGGACGGGATAATCAGAGAAGCACGCCTACAGAGAGAGCACTGACTCAAGTGGTCACTACTAGAGTGTTGTCTCGAAAGGAGGGGTTGTATGATGGAAAGGCTGCGGTAGTTCCTTACCACGGGAGCCGCCGCTCAGACACACCACAGCAGCGACGTCACAGGCAGGTTACCCTCTCTCACCCAGCGTCTCCTGCTCCAGTCCGCGCCGGGCTCGGTTGCTCCGTCTCCCGCCTGCCTCACTGCTCCATAGACGCTCCTGCGTGTGCTGCGCGGCGCGAGGAAATCTCGCGAGAGCCGCTGTGTTTACAAGAGATGCGCCTCTTCTGTGGCGTTCTGCGTGGAGGGGAATTCTCTTGGAATTAACAGGATTCCCACGGTCAGAGGAAACCTAGAAATAACAGGAATATGTCTTGAAAAGGTCGTGGAAATGTGCTGCGCGGCGCGAGGAAATCTCGCGAGAGCCGCTGTGTTTACAAGAGATGCGCCTCTTCTGTGGCGTTCTGCGTGGAGGGGAATTCTCTTGGAATTAACAGGATTCCCACGGTCAGAGGAAACCTAGAAATAACAGGAATATGTCTTGAAAAGGTCGTGGAAATTAAAATAATCAATCAGATAATGAAACAATATACTTTTTTGTGTAGGCCTATACATTTCTAGTTATGCTCTAAATTGTAAAGTATGTAATACGGTAAATACTGAGCTTTAGTAAAGGTAGTGTAGAGATAATTCGGATTATCCTGGTTGCATAAATTATAAATTATGAAATATATATTATGATATATATTGTATATTATATATATATATATATATATATATATATATATAAGCTAGATAGAAATATAGAAAAATATAAATACTATAAATAATACTAAAACGACACTGATGGGCCTAAATCAGAACAATTATGTGTAAGTAAATGTGATCAATGATTTATTGTAGCCTGTTAAGGAATCAGCCTGAATCATACATATATAATGCAACAATGATTTTGAAGGTGCTTTATTACATAAACCCATAAGCACATGCACCTGGCCTGCTGGATATGAATTGTATTGAAAGTCCAGGTAAGCCTTGTATGTTGTTGTATGTTGTGCTTGTTTTTTAGTTGTATGTAAAAATTAGGGGGAGCCATAAATCTGATACCAAGGAAAATTATGATTGTCATTTCAATAACTATTTAATAACTCTGAACTGGCTTTTATTATTATGCTGAAATATGTAGTGCTAAAATCTGATTACATCACAGCTGAATGTGTCTGAACATCTTGCAACAAATGTCCCTTTTCCACAAAATACTTCCCACTGTGGTCTTGGGGAAACTGCTCCAAATATTTGAGTGGTCAAAATTGGAATTGCAACATGTTAACAGCAGTTTGAAAAAATAAATGTTGCTATAGGGGCAAGTTTCTATTTTAGTATTTTATTTATTTATTTAATTTTTTTATTCTCCTTATATGTTTGTAAAAGAAAGCTTAGTGATATTAAAGTGACAATCTGTAATAACACTAAATGACATCACAACACCAAAATGCAAAATGGTTGAATGAGTTGTCATAATCTGTAACTCATATTATTTTCTATACATTTCTATTAGACTTTCCATGTAAATGTGTCCTGAGTTGATTAATTTTTCTCAGAAAGGGGGATGCGTGAAGTTCTTTCTGTTCTTTCTGCAATGCATTGCAGAGGAAGCTATGGATGAGAATCTGTGGCCTAACATAATGGGACATCAGGAGGTGTAAAAAGTATACACTATAATTCCCCAAACAGTGCTGCATGTACAGGTCTGCCTAAGGGGGTTTACCTTATTTTCCCCATGTTTACCTTTCTAATTTTGTATTTTTCCCTTTGTGCTGTGAAATAGTCTTGTCTATTTCTTTTTATGTAGCACAATTATGTTTACAGGAATTTTTGAGAGACCAAAAGTGAAAGCATAAATGTGAATCCTGTCCAATCTTTTGCAATCAATATCACACATATAGTAATATGTAACATACTGTTGAAATTAATAGATGCCACACAGGAAAAGTACAGTCTTGTGCATTTCAATCATTAAAAAAGTCTTTATTTATATTCAGTTTTTTTTTCTGTCTCATTTCCTTTTCTCTTCATTAAGTGCATAAGGGCCCAGGGTAATTCTCATATCAGACCTCTGTACTTTTCAAAGCATAACATGTTAACCACAGCTGCTGTGGACCTCAGTGTTTGGCCAGGTATCACCTGAGTGTTACTGAAATTGACTATTTCTTGATCCCACTGGATAAAGTGTACAGCATTTCTGTATAAAGCTTTTTTTCTGAGTCGTCGGTCCTAGGCTATGGCCTCAGTTCAGCTCCCTGCCCACACTAACTGCTCCAGATGGCGAAGGGAGGTACAGCAGAGGTAAGGCCACAGTCCTGTGCTGTGACACAGGTGGGGAATGGCCTGTTTAAACCCACAGGAAAGCAGGCCTGGCTGACGCCCCCCTGTCCCTCTATCAGCTGTCCATGCCTACAGAGAGAGACCACAGTTTCCACGCTACACTTGGGACACTGCATACACATGGGTTTGCTCGAAAAAGTCTGCTACACCAAGAAACTAGCTGAAAAACTTGTGAGGTGACCGCGATATGTGACCTTTAAAGGGGTCATATGATGCTATTTTAAAGATCATTATTTTGTGTATTTGGTGTAACAGAATATGTTGACATGCTTTAATGTTCAAAAAACACATTATTTTTCAAATACTGTACATTATTGTAGGTCCTCTATGCCCCGCCTCTCTCAAAC